AAATAATCAATATGTGCGTCCCATTTCAAGTGAGCGTCTATATATATGCCAAGATACTTTATTTTGTTTACTGGTGAGATAGCGAGATTTACGCTTTCATATTTTATGAGGAGTGATTTGAAACTTGGTAAGTTGTTAGCATATGATGTGAAAGTTATGTAAAATGTGTCTGATTCAATAAACGTTCTTTCAGAATTGTTTCATGTTGTTTCATTCAAAAAATTTTCATCATCTCTGCTTATTGATATATTTATACGCATCTTTGACTCTTCAAACTCTTCTACCAACCACTCAACAGGGACCTGGAAACATATGAGATACCGGTTCCGGTTCGAGTTCGGGTACAAGGGAAATGGAAAATATTGGTTTCGATTCGGTTACGATTCTGCTCAAAAGTGAAGTATCTTTATATTTGACAATAACGATCATTATTGCTATGAATTGACTAGGTAGAGTAGAATTGAATACTAACTTCAGATATCTGATGACATTTATCTAGGATGTAGATCAGGTTCCATTATTCTTAACAGTTCTTCTATCAATGCATATAAAAACTATTTTAATTATTTATCTTAGGAAAAATAGCTGCACACCTATTTCTCCATAAAATTTTCTGCAAGGCCTAAAATCAAGAATGCAAATATCAGATATGATATTATCAGTCGTATACAATATGAGGTATGTGACGAAAAATATCGATTTTGCCCAAGAGTAAGTAAACTTCAATACGGTGTCAAAATTAAAAACTATAGTTGGTGACCGAGCCGAGTGAACCTCCCACACATTCAGTCATCAAAATCTTCTGATTATGGGTATGACATCACTTATAAGTCAGAGGTGAGAACTGAAATAAACCAGAAGAACAATATGGGTTCAGTTTTGGTTACGGTCTACAACTAATATGGGTCTTGTTACAGACTCATTTGATATTTTATTTGCATTGTATACTTTTGTTCAATGTTTCCACGAAAAATAATAATAATTCATGATTGATGATATTTGTCACTTTCTGTGAATGAAAGTTAGTGAACATATTTCGATTTTATTCATTACAGGTCTCGTTTTCAGTCCATAACGGTTTATAACGGGTACCTGCCGCTTATTGACGTCGATACCTCGATAATTTTTGTATAACGATAAATCAAAAGTGCACTTTACATAATGACCCAAACTGAACGATTCACAACTAGGAATAGGCAGAATACTCAAATTGGTATGCAATGGTCGCAAAGAGAGAAACTCAAAGTTCATTTCCACAATAGTTCATAAAATGAACGAAAATTGCAGATAACGAGAGAATAACAACTACTTTCCTGGCTTTATGCCACGCAGAACATTGGAGTACACCCTCTCAAAATCTATATGATAATTCGTATAGACGAATAAAATTGCAAGTGTTTCCTTCCTAAACGCCGAGCTGCGCTTAAGAGGTTCAGGAACGCGTTACTCGATAACGAGATGTTCTCCATGATTTTTCCTGCATTGTTTATTTCGTACTGGAATGAGGAGTGATTCAAAATCACTGTTAACGACAGAAGGAACTTTTTCTTTGTGACGACAATTTTTGAACTCTCCCCCTATGGGGAACCTATTTTTGATTCATTAATTTTTTAAGAATATATATCATGAGCATTCGAATTTCCTTGAGTACTAAAGTAATCTGAACATATTTGGCAAATGATTTCTTCATTTTTTTTTCCAATTTGCTCAGAAACTAATAGTGATAGATTTTTCATCCAGTCAAAATGTAATTGAACAGAATCCTCATCTTCGTGGATATGATTGAGTAATGACCTGTCACCTTTCGAATCCTCATCATTGAAATATTCTTTTCGAATCATCAGAAAGTTGACATGCCTATTCAGGATCTGATTCTTAGTGGTTCTCTTGTACAGTTGAAGAATTTCCCAAACGATAGGTTTCTGAAATGAACACATTGATAGATAGATTGTTAGGAATTTCGAATTCAATGATCTGTTTCAGTCTCATTGGCATATCAATGTCAAATGAGGGTACGAATGAGTTCTTGCAGAATTTATTTCGCGGGATATGGACAAGACGTCACTGCCGAAGCAAAGCAAGCTCCATCTGAGTTCTCAATGTTGATGCAAACATGTTCGCGAATAATTTGGTCAGGAGATTCGATATAAAAAGAACCTCTATATCCCCTTCCTACTATATTGCAATTAACTTCTGAATTGATTATTTTATGCAGAGTCCATTTACTGTCTCGCTCTTGGAACTCACCTAATTTTTTGAAAATGACATCCGTTACTTTTTTTATATCATCGATTGAAATCTACTTCAGCATCAATAATGAAGTTGTTAGTGTTCAGGTATTTGGAATTGAATATAGTTTCGTCATTTTCATTTTTTAGGCATACTTCACGAGAGCATGTGTAAATTTTCATGAAATGAAATGTTTTCAGCATTCTTGATATTCTCGATTGTTATGGCGAGAAAGATTCCTTCAAAAATGGTTCAAAATCGATACATCTCGACTTTTGGATTACTTCATCACCCTGAATAGAAGTAACGCAGATTAGGCTTGAGTGTGAGAAGCCTTCAAGTATCACCTAACTCAAAACCAAATTTCGTCACCATAGCATTCGCTAACTCAAAGATATCAGCATTTGAGAGGTCACGATTTATGAAGAAAAAATGGACATTAATGTTCATTTCGAAAACGGAAACAGAAAGGTTAAGAAAATCATCAAGAAAAGTCGTTGAAAAATTGTTGACGACTCTTAAATCATTATTATATACAGGGTTAGTACTCTGTTTGAATAAATAAAGTTGCTACTACTTTCTAATAGAAGTGACAACACCGCATTATCGAAAATATTTTGAATAGATGGAGAATGCCTGGATTCAATCATTTTCGAGATATAATGAGCCATATACCATTAATCACTCATCAGCCTGTATTCACAAATAAATGTTTGCTACCCTTCCTGAAGAACGTCTTCAAACGCAATAATATAACCGTAGATGTTCCATCCAGGAAATCTAAACATGTCTGTCTACTTCGATATAGAAGATGATTATTATTGATTCTATGAACAATCTGTATACCCTGATAGCACGAAACGTCTTAGGGACGTCCCGATTTGGTACAATTCACGTCCGAATGTCCCGAACCAAAAATAAGTGTCCTTGGGACATTCCATCCCGTACATCTCATGCAATGTCCGAGCAAGGAAGTCCACGGAAAGCCCCAGCTGGAACATCATTTCAAATGTCCTAGAAATAGCATCCATTAGACGTCCCACGTAGTACATATTGTAGAATGTCCATGCAAGGACGTCCTTGGCATGTCCCTGATGGGATATGCTTTTAAACGTTTCTTTAGGGACATCCTTCGGATGTTCCGAGTAGTACACATTCTGGCATGACTTTAGATCTTATATAATGTCCCTTCTAGACAACCATGAAATGTCCATGATGGTACATTCCTTCAAATATCTCTGCACAGACGCCCTTAATATTTCCAGGATCGTATAACGATCGAAATGTCCCTTAGGGATATCCGTCGGATGTCCCAATTGGTACATGAACTGTACTCTTCCAATGTCCTAGGAATAACGTCCTATGGAAGTCCTAGTCGGTACTTTCGATATGTTATCTCTGCGAGGACGTTAACTTACACCTCGCCGACGAATGATTGCTCGTAGGCTATAAGTACTTCTCGTCAATGTTCTTCACGTAAGTCCATTGGACATCCTTGGGAAACTTTTCGGGGACCTTCTACGGACCATCAACTCAACTGGGTGTCCTGATCAGTTATGCAAGATCTGGTCCTAGAGGGACCCAGAAATATTCAAATTCAAGAATAATTCGTATGTCCCTGGGACATCCTATGGACATCTAGTTGATATCCCTCAGCGTTGCTGATAAGTTGTCCTATGGATGTCCAAAGGATGTCCTCTGTAATGCTTGATGAGGAATACTGTATGATTTAGGTATTCGATAGTTGTCCCAGGGACATCCCTCAAGAACGTCCCTAGTTGGTCCTCAAGTGGGACATTTGTGCGTCCCACAGACATCCAATGGACGTCCACGTTACCAAATTCGAACGTCTTATGGACGTCCTGAATGTCCCGAAAGGACGTCCTAAGGATATCCATGGGACATAAGTGTGTTATTAGGGTAGTATAGCCCTTCGAGCTGTCCAGTTGTGGGATGAATGAAAACATTCTCAATAATGTCATGTTTTCGTTGGGGGATTTGGGTTTGAGTATTTGAGTGCTTCTGAGAATTACAAGGTTATCCAAAATAAAACCATAAATTATTATTATGATTTCACTGTTTCCTATGTTTATATTGGCGGTTATGTAGTATGTTGAGTATAAATATCCTGTATTATATCAGCAGAAGTTGGACTCATTGCGTAAAAAGAAACTTGTTCCAGTGTATCGATTCTAATGGAATCGCCACTGTGATTTATCGATTTTATCTTCTGAATGAAAAACGGAGTTGGCAACCAAATATGTCACCATCAGCAATGTTTTCAATTCAGTTCAAAAATGTGTTTTTCTCCATAGAACATTGAAATAATAACACCCTACACGCAGAAAAGGTTCACTTTCACTGCCTAGGCAGAATAAATTCGATGCTATGCAACGTTCTGAATGATTTGAATCGAATTGGTGATCAAAATTGACAATGACATTGGGTGAACAAAAAATTTTGGATTTTTCAGACTCCTATGTTTCACCTAGCAGAAAATAAAATGTGATGCCTTGGCAGGTTTCCTAGCCTCGGCTACGCCTTGGCTATGAAACGCCAGCCACGGCATTGAATCTTCTACTTTTCTACCTAGTAAAACAAATAACTATTACTCATAACCGTTGATTTAATCAAAAGTTCAGTAGTTTTTGTTGTATCTATGTCAGTTAACAGGTCGTTTGACGGCTTCTCTTCATGAATACTAACTATAGCATTCACCAGTGAAACAGTCATGCGATATGTTGTAGTTTTGTAGTTTTTCAGCAACTTACCCGGGGGAACAAACAGGAAAGCAGAACATGCAATCCCAGTGACCATGTAGGAAATACTAACTGATTTTTTTCTTCCAAACAGATCCAACATGAAGTTGCAGCAAATATAAGCAGGCACCTCTATCAAAGCAGTCAGAATGAAGTCCAAGTAGCTGTTACCGGCGACCAAGCTCACTGAATTGAGGGTCAAACCGTAGAAGAGGAATGTACAAGTGATCCAACAAAAACAGCAGTTGACTAGTCTGACACTAAGAATTTTTGATTTCAATGCAGTCTTGAAGTCCCCAGTCTCGTCTTCAGGACAGTCTTTCGTCGGGAGCGCTAGCTTTTCTAATGTACTTTCTGAAAGTTCGATGCCATTGAACTTTGCTGCTCTTCTTAATGTCATCTTGGCTTCTTCTACGTGGCCTCTACTGAGATTCCACCGAACTGATTCCGGGACCAACCAGTGATACGATATGAGAAGAAATATTGGACTGTATAGTATGAATATTAGTGGCCTGGAACAAAGAACAAGTAGAAAATATAAGGAAAATCAGAGGATGAGTTATTCAATAATGATAGTTATCAAAATCAGTCAGGTATGAAATATAAATAATATTTCGATTGATAGATATGTGGAAAGAGAATACCGAACATTTAGAGGAAGGAACAGGTATCATGATGACACATCATGATCATAAATACACAGTGAATTGTTTAAATCATATAATAAATGATTGTTGGATATTCAGCGATTAATTGATATAATTCATAAATGAATTGTTATGACATAATTGTTTTTTGTTGAGTCAAAGGATCAGATATTATCAGATATATATTATTTTCTCCATTTTGCGTCTTTGATGAAGTCATTCTGAAACTCAAAGGCGTATCGAAACAGCTTCAGATCACATTAGTTATCATAGTTCTGATAGTTGTCAGTTCAATCAATCAATCAATCAATCAACTTTATTATTCCCAAGAAACAACATTTGTTTATAGAAGGGAACATAGTGAATACATAAATATATTTGACAAAATAAAATAAAGAAGACAGTAAAATAAGACTCACACTCAAAAAGAATCTTTTTTTTTTTCAAGTTCGAATTCTTATTATCTATATTGAATCATTGTCAAACATTTCCATAAAATAGGTATGTTGAGATATTAGATTTACATTCAGTAACACTTACTTCCATGACTTCACTGCCCAAGCTGAACCCGCTGTGAATATTTCTCCTATTGCAAAGCAAGAACTCGAAATTATTCCAGTCATGACCCTCTTCTTTGGACTCACCAACTCCACACCTGAAAGAATTCACATAATTAGAATTCGTCATCTGTATAAAAAAATAGTTGACTTGGTCAAATAGGAGTAGAGAAATGCTTCAAGATATCATATCTTGTACAGGATGAGCAAAACTAGATGTAGATATGAGCTCTTATATAAGATAAAAAAAAACTTGCGAACGCCATGTGGTTGGGTTCATTTGGAACCGAATTTTCTTCATGGAGTAGAAGAATGAAGTGATGCTTCAATTGGATTCTCTTTTTTTGGGAAAGATGCCAATATTTTGACGAATTTGACATTTCATTTTGACGGCTTTTGGGATCATCTATATTACCTACCTGTGATGAAAATGTTGAAGATTAATTTTGTTGAGAAATGATGGATAATTCCCGATATTTCGAAGTGATCGACATTTAAACATCAAATCTTCCAATTTGCTTCCGTTTCCACCATGAAAATGGAAAATATTTCTTTAGATTGATTTCCTCGTTTTCCTATCTTGACATTTTTACAGACAGTATTGAAATTGCTCCAAGACCAGAATTTGATTATTCGTTGAAAAATGTATATGTAAGTAATGAAAATTTATGTCGAGGATTCACAAACGTCTCTGTTCAAACAAGTAACTTTTCGAAAATATCAGCAAGAAATTGAATTTTCCAAAAATGATGAAAATTCGAAGAAAACCGGCAATGAAAGATTATAATAATAATGTTGATAATAATAATAATAATAATAATGGTATTATTGATAATAATAATGATAATGATAATAATAATGGTAATAATAATGATAATAATGATGATAATCATGAATCATCACTATTTGGGCGAAATTCACCCAAGATATTCTTACATATAAATCATATTGAATAAGCTTCCTCAATCTACTCCCGACCTGTATGACCTATAATACACAGACAGAATATAAAATATTCATGGAGATGATAACACAAAATAGAAACAACAAAATTTGAAAGACAGTTATGACCCAGCAAACATGTATCGCGCGGTCCTTTAGACGCTCACCAAAAACTGCCAACAGGCAACATCAGCAAGCCACAATCATGATACATCGTCGGTCCGGCTAGCCCGTGTTGCACCGGCCGCTAGTAGTAGCACCGAACATAAACAATGTTCGGTGGTAGTAGTATCTGCCGACACTATTCGGTTAGAGATAAAAAAAAATAGTCGGGAGTCAGACTCGAACCGGCGCTCGATCGGATAGATCCTATCCACTGTCAGACACTTAACCCACTACGCTACTGCGGAGCTTGAAATATTTTGTCATGAATTCATCAGTCAACAGAATTTGAATAGTACAAGGCATTATTTATATTTGATATTTCAGCATTTGATTAACCTATCATAACTCAGTAGATTTAATGACGTACAATAGGTGTAACCTAAATACTGTTACAGCCACATAACTTTCTCAGTTTTAGATCTATTACTGTGGATCAAATATTTGTCGAATATATAGGTGGAAAACTGAACTTCGCATTGGTGCATCATTGTTATAATATGAGTGATGAACAAATATTTAGCTCAAAATTATTTCCACAAAAATGAATTTGTTGACAACGACAACTATTGTTATATGTAACGTATCATTCTTGATGTCAAACGATAGTATTTGTTGTGACCAACCATGCGAAAAGCATGAAAAAGTCTGTAGATATATTTTTATTGCGATACTACAATATGAGATCATTTATATAATGGAGTTTGTCTCTAGCGTCGAATCGACAGCGGCACGATTGTGACATATCTCTTACGGTCAATTACAGGATGGATGACAAACATAATAAATAAGCGTTCATTAAGCTCTGGCGGCACAACCGATGTCATTCCAACATTTTGCCGATATCGGTTTGCCACTGCCCACACTTATCCGCTGCTGACAGCGATGGCCCGGCAATTTACCGCCTATTCATGTTTGCTGGGGAATATCCTAAATTTCTCCAATGACTGCACATCAACTTCATCTCACTGACTAGTGATCTACATGAGCCCTACTACACATCACAATGCACTATTCATGGAACAACAAGCCTTAGGACTGACGCTGATATCGTTCATCACATTCCTAAGGAATGGAACAACATACCTAGAGGACAGCCACATCCCAAGTCTCAGGCGATAAGTTTTCTATACACAGTTAGACAATAATTGCGAGATACCTGAATCCCTAAATATAACTCATTATGACGTCACGTTCCGTATATTTCTTGTTCGCGACAGTCTGCTCTTATTGCTAACTAACCCGGCGTTACATATGTGGGGTCTGATGGACCCCAATCGCCGAATATCGCTTCAAAAATATGCCAAACGTGAACTTATGCGTACGCCCCTCCTAATAGCTTCCGAAATATGTCCGCATCATTGAATTCAGACATCACTGCAGTACCTTGTAGACACTGAGTGAAATTATACGGGACTAAGGTGCTTTGGGGTGTGTCGACCCCCACCTATTTACTGACGTTCGTTATTTTGACATAATAGCTATAATATAATATATAATAATAATTTTGGATTATTTTGGATAATTTTCTTTTTCTGTTATTCAAGCTGCAATAATTTTTTTTGTATTTCATTATCATCAAATTTTAGTTTCAGAATGTTCATTCCGGGGTGAGATGTTCATTCAATCTCACATGATTTTTTTTGTCACGTTATGTTTTTTGGTACATGAGAAAAAAGCCATTTCCAGTTTATATCAGATTTCTTGTAATAAAGCCTATTTGATTATTTTGTGCGTGTTTTTATTGTTCCTAGATGATCCCCTGAGACTATGGAACAACAAAATATCAGAAGAAAAAATGATTAAAAAAAAATAATTTTTCAGGTAATGAGGTTTGTCACACCCCAAGTATGTACTGATGCGACAATTTTCCACGTATGTCCGGGTTAAGTATACATATTGCATCTAGTTGTACTATTCAACTCCCTGAATCGAATCGAATAACCATACAGGATCAACGGCCAAGGAGCAATAAAACATTCCACAGCAACTGCAATTTCAGAAAATGAATATATAAATACATCTCAACCTCTCTCATTCCTACAAAAGCAAGATTCAAACAGCCACAATATCAATGTTGATATTTGCATGAGAACAGCTGAATCAGCTGAATCATCTGCATCCTCTAGTGAACGGAGTATCTCAGAAATAATTACACCATAACCAGACGAAAATCCAAATCCGAGTTCAAATCTTTCTAATGTAACATTCATCCTTCTTCTGACCAGAAGAACCTACTGGCACCTTGAACTTAGAACTCCTGCATTCCTAGAAAGATATCATTGAAAGATTTCTTCGGAAAAGCATATGGGCCATAGGATGTTCTCAGTTCAACAAAAGGCTATACCACATCAATGTCTGTCCTAATCGAAATATCACAGGATTCATAATTTCATATTGTAGACAGAAACCTGAAAACTAGATGCACCGAATGAACAAAATCAGAAATGACAAAAAACATTATCGAAACACAAAGCGATACCTCGACCCCATCAGACCATTTTGAAATAATTGAATCATTCTCTAGTCGATCTTGCAGTGAAAATTGAACAGTTATTTGGCCTACTTGACTATACTCGAATTTCTACTAGATATTTATTCACGAGGCACAATATGTCCGCAGAGAAGACGAATTCGTGAGCATGTATTGAAATATCACACTGGATTTTTGAAATTTTGATTGGATACTGAAAAATCGAGTGGCGCTGCAGCTATCTACGTCTAATCGAATGTGGATGCACCTTCACTCGCATTCACAACTCACCTTTCATTTATCTGCTCCTGGAAATATCAATATTTGCAACATCAATATTCCACCTGACATAGATTTCACACAAAGAGATCTGGAAGATCTCTTTGGCCCGATACCTACTTTTTGACTGATGAAAGAATATTCAAATCGATACAGCTCAACGTCGGAGGCGAATAAAACCGATTCAAGAGGCCTTAAACTCGAAAATATGATAAATACATCTAATCTAGCACTACTTAACGATGGATCTGAGACTCGTTTTGATGCTGCAACTGAAAAGATTTCCTCTATACTTCTGACTTTAAGTGAATCTAACCTATAGCTCATCCCAAATTGGAAAACACTTGACAACCTATATTTTTATGATAGTGATAATTTTTTATTGATAATGAATAGATGTACGTAATATCATAATACCAACATACCTACACCCAGAAAATGAAGTATTTTCAATGGCAACAGATAATCAAAGAAGCAGCCAATAATACAATAGGAAAAGTCACTCCTCCAGGCGCAGATGGCATCATAGAACAATTTATAATAACCTACTCACAATAGCCAAAGATCATCCCGATATTTTCGTCAGAACACTGAAAGAAACAAAATTTTCCAGAGATCTGGAAGCAGTCAATCATTAATTATACTCATCCTGAAATCGACCTAATCAGAACTGAAACCAGAATCATACCGAATCATCTCCCTCACATCTGATTTCGGAAAACTCATGAAAAAATAATCAATAATCAAGAACAATCTGGCTTCAGATCACACAGATCTACTCTAGACAACATATACAACCTACAGAGTCACATATATTGGAAGCATTCCCTAATAAACGTATGTCGATTTATTTCGAAATCTATAAAGCATTCCATACTTCGTGGCGGCACACTATATTAGCGAAACCATTGAGTACCAGGTAACAGGGAGACGTTCTTGACCATTAATGGATAGTCCCGACATCGGTTCCGAAGCAGAAAAATTCTAATGCTAAAATCAGCCGTTCAAGGGGAAACTAAAAATGCAATGAAATAACAAAGTAGTTGCTACTTCTCGATAGAAGCGGCAACGCCGTAGCACTGGAAATATTTCAGGAAATGTAGTTGACGTACTCCAGTGATTTTTATATCTGTTTCTGGCGACCAACAGAGCCTCTGTTTCGTTTTCGAATGGCTACCCTGTATACAATATCTCTGGAGTTTTTTCTTCTGCAGATGAAAACATAAGGACACAGTCTTCAAAATATGCCTGAGTAAAATTGATATTACATCGATAGATTTGGTTTTTCATTGATCCAAGCAAAATAACTATCTGATCACTAGTGGTACAATGTGAGTTGATGACTCTTTCATCCGTAGAAATAACCTGCCAAAAACAATTTCAACCAAAGTGATCACAATGTAACCTGTAACTTGAATTTAGTGCTGATACGCCGTATTCATGGACTCGAATCTCTGTGTGAAGAGGTGATTTTGTCAACCCAGGTGACGATGACATAAAACAATGCACCGCATCTGCAGGAAACCGTAAACATAGCTGATGCCACATGCAAAAAGGGTCAAATTTGTGAAACAAAAACCAGACGATCTTCAGTACCAATTAGGATTAGGCCGATTTGTGATCTTCAGTTTGTGTTATTTTGACGAATATACATATCGTTCAAGAGTTACGCGTTGTTCAATGTGTATACTTCGAATCCTAGACAAGAAAGTGTATTAACAGAATCAGTAACCAATTGAATACAGTCCACTGAATCCATCAATCGAAACAACGAAACGAAATAACATAACATTTCAAATTCTTGTTCAATGTTCGTGAGATTCTGACCAAATCGTGAAATAATGTTATGAAATGTTAGCCTTGATTTTAGTTCCCAAGGAAAGCTGACGCCTTGCTCTTCACTCTCTTTTTTCGAGTTTTGGAGTGTGTTCAGTTCCCTTAACAAAATTGGTCGGATGCATGTTCAATATCTTCTATTTGAGAGGAGATACAAGTGTTCAAAGACAGTATGGACATTTCATATTTTTATCTACAATGATCCAGAACATACATGAAACTATCGTTCAACCAATTGAGAAAACGTTTGATAGTATAATATTGTGTATCAAGTGTTATTAGGGTCTATTTAGTAACGAGTGTTCAATAAAAGAGTGCCTAGAAGAATTTATACACGCGTTATATCCGGTAATTTTTCTAAGAATTTATTTTGGAAGTTGATTTCTCTCATCTCATCATTGAAGTCAAAATTGGTCTATTAATGCGAAAGCCAAAATCACACAAGAAATGATATATGGGCCGCGTGGAGCCGACCTAGACCCTCATGTTAACTAGTGCCGCAAACATGAATCGACAAGTCAATCGAGACGCCACATTGGCAATCACAATGGCATTCCGTGATGAGTGAATTTCTGGTGGCCGTGAATCTATAACCTAGACTCGCAGTAAAGAAAACACATTTTTTTGGACATAAATTCGTACGTGAGGATGTGGGACATTAATTTGAAGTTGAAGAGGTGGATAAAAAGGCAATAAGATGACAAATGTGAGCAACCATCGGGGGTCGTTTAAATTCCAAACATTGTGGCACTGGACCGTTGGAATCAAACGAAAACCCATAGGAAAATGTTTGAAAAGCTTTGTTGCTATATGCTGTGTCAAATATTTTGAATTGATCACAGCTTTGTGGATCTCTCATTGATCGATCATCCAGCATGGTATATATCCGTTCGCTCAATGCCACTTAACTTATGTGTGTAGAAAAAATATTATATTCTCAGCACTCACCAGCAAGAAAAACTTGATAACGAAAAGAACAAATCGAAAAGCAAACCTTCTTTACTTAATATGTAGTCAATAAAGAATATATACCCTTCTCGAGCTTGGATAACATCATTCAACTGCCGTGGTATGGATTTATTGAAATTTCCCAAGCAGAGGAATCGTCTCAAATACTTCCTGAACCATGAATCGTAGCTCTTGAAGAATCTCTGACAAGGCACTATGCGGTATATGTTCTAAATCATTGTTGATGAAAATTGAATACTTTCATACTCCCTTGAAACACTTGTCTTAAAAATGAAATCTTGGCATTATTTTTCTGGCCGGTCTTCTCCACCGGTATTTTCTAACAATGATACTGGGAGTTGTTTCTGGATACATCAGTCGGGCTCTCAGAATCCAAAGTTTGGGAATGAAAGAATAAAACTAAATATCAAGAAATATATTCCTTAGGAAATGCAAAGAGACAAATATGCAGGTTCTGAAAATAACAAACACCCTCAAGTACTAAGTTATCTTATCGATATGAGGGATCAATTCAATATATATGTGAATAGGGACATCCGTGTGTTTTTATGTCGAGACTCAATCGAATCAACCAATAAAAACCAACAGATGCAATAACTATTTTCTTCTTTCGAATTATCGAGTCCTATAATACAATGATCGCTAGGATCCTGTGATTTCACTTAAACGAATGTTTTTTTACGAGAACATGAATTACAGCGATTTCATCAAAATTTATTCTGAATCTCTCGTGCAGAACATATCGATCTCATGTTTGTTATTCACTTAGTTGTTGAAGGCATCGTATATAAATATAACTGAAGAGGGTAAATCAGAAAGTCATCTTATTTTCCCTCTTCAACATTCACTACTACACTTTGAGCACTCTGGGCTTCCACCTACATTTATCATCTGTTGATTGTGGTTTATTGATTTCATATCAACAAATTCGCAAATCTCAGTTGAATACACCAACATTGAATTCAGTCAAATCGATTCATAGTTGCCTATATTCCCTTCCAAAAAAATATGAACTATACTTCATCGTTTTCAATTGGTCTTGTTCTAGCCAGGGGTCCGAATTGAATTTCCTCAATTGATCTTCAACAATTCTGAATATGTTGGTATTCTAATCTTTGATGTTCATCAAGAAACAGTATTCTGACTGATATCAGGAATCACTCCAGACTCCAAATATTTTGAACTGGAAATGTATTCTATAGTAGAAATTGATAATATTCCTTACCCAGGACGAATCCAACAATATATGTTCCAGCGCCGAATGTTGCATCAAGAAATTCGAAGAATAAGAACCAGTTATAAGTCGGCATGAAAGCTCTGGATATACCGCAGATCGCCGACAAAACCATCCCCCAAATTAATACTGGTTTTCGACCATATCTGGAAGAAAATCACAAATCTTTTCAACTTTTCACAGATCGATGACATATCCTGATATTTTTAGAATTCAATAAATGTTTATATTTTATATTATATTTATATTTATATTCTTCTGTTGCAAGAACGTTTGGACGAAACCAAAATGAAACATTTCCAGAGAAATGCACCCATGTAAGAATGCATGTTCTAATGCTGCTTTTACTGATGTTTCATGATTTTTGTTATGTTGCCTATACCTATTCTACATCAAAATGAATACCTAGCACTATAGAAGATCCCAAATTCCCAAATCAAAAATCAGCTGCTGCTACTATACCACGCCATCAATGTTGAACTGAACTCATGATCAACTTCAACGCTTATTCAAATTTTGATATTGTTTATGTCTAAACCTTAGTATCCGGCCTACAAATGTAGATGAGACCGAGTAATTTGTATTCCGTATATCGAATTTCTTGTCGCGAAGGAAATTTGTGATGGATAGGGGAATGCAGAAGAAGAAAGGATCGGTATAGGTTACAAGGTCAGAGGAAGTGGACTGAAACGGGATGAGAGTCAATGATGGCTTAGACAGCTTGAGATGAGCGTGAGATCAACAACACTCAATTGTCAACTGATGCTACAGTCTTATTTTGAGTTTGCGAAATACCGAGTTACTGTTTCTGATTTCTGATTGTATCTGTTTGGCAGTGGTAGTCAAACCTGATAGTTAATTTGTTATCCATCGTATCCAGTTGCTTAGTTTCGAGGAGCAAAAAAGGGTCATCAGAATTCACAAAGTATTTTATCAAGAATGATTCCACATCCGACGAAAATGTGATTGATATTGATGAATGGCACGGATTCCCATCATAAGAAGCTGCTAACATGAAACGTAGGATCCATCCTTCTGGCAATCGAATCATATAGGTTTTCTTTCGCAGTTTTGGGAACAGTATACAAGGTAATTTATAATATATGCGCAGGACTTCAGAGTGTGATAGCTGTTTCAAAAATATCAACAAAATGTTTCATTACCTCACCCTCCAAAAGGCACTATTTTTGAGATACAGGGTGTTGAAATTTGAGAAAAAAATCGTTTTTTGCGAATTTTTCTGGAACTGATCATCGCACAAAAAACAGCTTCCGTAAGCATTTTCGTCTCTTAATAACCTATGTTTGGTGTGGGATTTTTTTTCTAGAGGTCATAATTGGTGAAGATTCTGAAGGACTGGTGAGAGTTTTTTCCCCAACTTCTACACCACTGAAAAAAGTACATTTTTGAGCACCCCATTTGAACTATAAATATTTTTGAAACGCAACAAAATAATCTTGGTCGAAGTGTCTGAATCTGACCGTTTTCGAGAGAAATCAACTTTCATGTTGGAAATCATGGTAATTTATCTTTCATTGCTGTGTGCATTGAGAATAACCGCGGACAATTCCAACAATTATTGATTCAACTGAGTATGATTCGCAATTGTTTCAAATCAATTTTGAAATATAAAATTTTCCTTTGGTTTCGTTACTTGTTCTGAAATTCAAAAAGATTCTGTATAATAGGCAAAAAAAATTGAAACTACGAGATAGCCACGCGGGAGGATGTTATTCAATGTTCTGCGTGGCATTAGCCAGGAAAGTAGTTATTTTCCTCCCGAAATCTATCATTGTTGTTCATTTTATGAAAATTGTGTGAAATTGACTTCAAGCTTTTTGTATTTATTCAACATTTCATTCCACTTTGAGCATTGTGGCTATTTCGTAGTTGAAATTACGCCAGTCGGGCAACCAGCCACTCCCGTGAGAATTTCAGTGTTGGAGTGATTCTTTCCTTCTGTTCTACTCAGATGGCGTTGCTATCATATTTTCGATGAAAGGTGCCTCTGGGGGAATATGATGCCGACTTGATTTTTGTTTGGCTAGGCTACACTGAGTCGGCGGTCTTAGGACTGCTGGCTGAAGACTACCCTGCACTGATGGAAGTCAAAGAGCTCGAAACTGTGGGTATCTAGCGTGGCCTGGCTAAATAGAAATCAATAGGCATCCAGGAAAGAATCACTTGTATCAGTATTCGTTTATACGAGTCGGTGCATAGATTTCGGGAGGATGTAATTCAATGTACTGCGTGGCATTAGCCAGGAAAGTAGTTGTTTTTCTCCCGAAATCAACCATTGTTGTTCATTTTATGAACATTGAGTGGAAATGACTTCGAGCTTTTTGTATTTATTTGAAGAGAAATTGTTTCCAAAAAGTCACCATGATTCTCGACATGAAAGTTGATTTTTCTCAAATTTTCTGAGATTATGACCAAAAGTATCTTTTTTGTGTAGAAAACATTCACCGTTCGAATGGTTGACTCGAAACCGTACTTCTTTCAATGACGTAGGAGTTGGGTAGAAAAACATCTACTAACCCTTCAAAATCTTCACCAAATATGATTATGAGTAGAAGTTGTTCACGAAGGCTGTTTCCTATGCGATGAACGATTCTAGAGATATTTGCAAAAATAATTTTTTTTTCAAATTTCAACACTTTGTATCTCGAAAATGGCTCAAACGGGCTATCAGATCGTTGAGTCCTGCGCATATATTATGGAACACCTTGTATTGTGTTTTAGAGATATTAGTTGAAAGTGTTCATTAGGATATGTTGGACTAGTATGGACTTGATAAGACAATTTGTGCTTTGTATTTGTCACATCTGTGTGATGGGTAATTGTCAACTATTTGTGAAATAAAAATAGTTTGTTCCTAATAAATTTGTCTGTTTCTGCTGTCATATCCACTTTTTCTGGAGAGTTGATAGAACTATACAAAATTGGAAACCATTATGAAACGTGTACAGGATAGTTTTTTGGAACGCATCCAAGACAGTTTTGTTGATAGATAACGGTTTTCTTGGAACGTGTCCGGGCCGATGTTGTTGTAGGTAGGACATTCACATTCTTTGGAACGTTTATAAAACTTCAGAGAGACTTAGGTGAAAAGGTTTCAGATATACAAAAGACATTTCTGAAACGTGCCTGAAAGTGATATAGGTATGTGTAGTGGAGTTCAGAAAAATGCGAAAACGACTCACATTTTGCGACCCGAATTTCCTGTTCCGTTTAAAAAGAATCAAACATACATAAAATAACCTTCCTTGACAAATATCGAAAAGTATGCATATTGAGTGAAATATAAACATATAACAATATTTCATCTGAGCAATCAGTACCTATAAATGATTCCTGAAGATAATATGCTTATTTCTAGTGGAGAATCACAGAATATCAGGAAGATATTTTTCCTACTTTTGTTCTATCACTGAGTAATTTCGATTTCAATATCGAAATTGTTTAGACACCGTAATGTCACTGTCTATTTCCATCAAGCATCAACTTTTTCGCTACGGATTCATCTATCAATATCTAGTCGAAGTGTGGCAAGTGATTCCTAGCTTTGGTGTGTCAGTCCATTTGAAGCTTTTTAGATTGATCTCGAGTGTGTTTCGGACCTCTACCAAAACCTGCGTTCACTCTTCGAATTGAGTTTTCTAGGATTGCCCAGTATTTTGTATATTAATTTGATTTCTGTGACATGAGAAAGTTTGACATTTCATCTCTGTTGACAGGTAACATGATGTCACTTTCAATAAATTATTTTTGCCCACGTGAAAACATGATGACTATTTTCCCGGATAGATAAGTGCACTGTTAATGGCTTCTGTTGTGCCAGTTCCGAATAATAAGCCAATAACATCGTCTCCGAGAAAGAACTGGAATTCCATTGCATCCCACATTCCACTTCGTGGTTACGAAAATTGATAAACAACCACTATAATCGCAATTTTTTCGATTCAAACACAGAATTGGATCGACAGATATTCGATTACTTCAAAAGGTTTTCATATATACCAACAATAAATATGCTTAAAAAAATGACTGTTGAAATTTTCAAATTCCACATCGATAATTTTCTAATTTCATTATAATGTAATATATTCTCGATATTGAATCGTCGCCTCCACTCTCCACCCTCCATGGATTTTTTATCTTCATCCGCTACGCGTCGGGAGACAACACAACCTCGAGCCGAAATCTATCACTTTTTTCCCTTATATAATACATAACTAATTATCATCTATCAATACCATACCTATCAGATATTAGTCCTCCTATGAAGAGTCCAAAGAATTGTCCGATACTGTTGATTGTACCGACCATAGTCAGTTTCCAGAGATTGTCGTCGCATTGTAAATCATACTGAAACAAAAATCAAAACATTAGATTCTCTCGGAATGATGAATATGTAGTATATCTTCCATACACCAGGATTGGATTCCCAGACGGAACATCGTTCATTAAAATTTTGTGTAAAGACAATCCTGGAAAGTAAAAAATGTTTCGAATATGCAGCAACTCATGCATTATATTGCAATTCAGAATATGACATTGACCTTAAGATCAATTCACGGATCAATTGCAAAGTTCGAGGATAACCCGATCCAGTGAGAATAAAATTATTCAAATTCCTCTATATAAAAAGAGCCATACACAACGTTTTGTTTTCTACTTTGGACCAAAACTGTATAACCTTCTGCCTGAATGTTTAAAAAACACGAATGAAATAAAACATTTCAAAACTGCTCTCAAACAATTTATGCTTCACAATGCATCTGTATTCAAAATTTTCTGAAAAAAAAAAAATGCCATCTCAATCTTTCACTCATCTTCTCCTCTTTCCCTTTCCAATAATCATAAGTATAGAAAAGCACTGTTCTTGTTCATAGAATAAAACATATGTTATGTATTTTAACATGATAACCCTCTCATGCTTCATGAGGGAGAAATGCAAAACAGGCAGCCTGTTGCCTAGGCGTTTTTCGCTCATGTTCACAGGAGAAAAAAAAATCTACGAAAAAAAAAATTTTTATACTGTATCATCAAATCTTTGAATAAATCTTGAATCTTGAAAAAAAAAAATATATAAGTGGGGTGACATAAAGGAATATACATAAACATTGTTTCTCCCCATCAGTGATACAGAATTCTTTCTGAATATCATGATAAATTCATTATGAATATAACTAAACAGATCACAAAACAAATGTACGAGACTGCTATTTCCATCTATGGAACGGGTTAAAGATCAATAGAATATTGAAGTATAAGTGGATATTGAGGTCTGTGAAACACGCGCAAGTGTTTGAAGGACCAGTTATATGCTTCATGAAAATATTCAATTTGTACACTTTGACGTCATAAATATGAAAATAACAAATGATAATGTGAATGGTTAATAGTAGATTATACCACGAGTCAATAATGATAGCTATTATCAGTGGCGAGGGAGTAACATTCCGAGAGAATAATAGCCATTATCGCGAGTATCATACTCTACTTTATTTACGACAAATTTATTTATTTTAGATTTTCAATGAACAACTTTATTTGTCAATAACATATATTTTAGATTTTCAATGAACAACTTTATTTGTCAAAACATTTAAATTAGTGACAGTTCAATTAATAAACTAAATTGGTCGTAAATTATGATTAACTTTGGAAGAGTTTTCAACACGAATATTTGGAATTTCGGTTGCTGTAGAAGAAGAAGTTGCTTCATTACTATTTATCTGTTTGGCAATAGTATCTGCTGTAGTTGTTTTGTTTCTCATAGACTGATCAATGTATCCTCCAGTTACTTGGGTAGATTTCCAGCCCCCATGACGCTTCAATCCAGTTATATCGCCTCCTCCATCAATGTACAGATTGGCAGATGATCTGCGATAACAATGGCCGGTATAACTTTGAGGATTTGGCAAGTTTAAATATTTGGCAATTTGTTTACCAATGTCTGCAAATTTGTTTTTTCCTATACGTTGTATTGTACATTTCGATTTTTGATAATTTAGAAAGAATGAATTGGTTTCTACATGTGACGGACGGAGATCGATGTACTTCTTTACAATATTGTAAAACGTACTGTTTATGGTGAATTTTCGTACAATTTTAGTTCTAGTCTTGGGTATTGTTATCAATAACTCTGTTTGGAAATCCTTCACGTCTTCTATCTTCATTTCATAAAGCTCGTTTGAGCGGCATGCGCCCATAATTCCAATAACTAATATAACCTGAATCAAATAAGAACATGATTTTTGAATAGATCAGATTGAATATGAACATTTACCTTATGCAGAAAAAAACATTCCATCAGGAGCTCTGTCAATAAATTTCCTAATTTCTTCCGGGGTCAGAGTGGAAGATTTCTTTGCTTGAAATCCTTCAGATTTTCTTTTTATAAACGCTCGTAGTTTCTTATATTTTTCCAGATCAACGTCATGGTTTATCTTCAACACACATTTAATCATTGAATAGAATGACCATAATGAAGATGGCTTGTATTTTGCACCCAATTCAGCGAAATAGGCCAGCAGAACATTTTCGGAATAAGAGTTTGCCTTGTTTCGAAGACGCCATTCGTTGAACGTTGCGTACGTTTTATTATAAATGGATTTCGATGTTTCTGGTATTGAGGTAGATGTTGTTGCTGCAGCTAATTGTTCAATTTCTGGTGGTGAACAAGTGAAAGATTCTTCATTTTCATTCATCTTAATACAAATACACTACGCGTTTGACACTGACATTTTTGAGTTTGGTTATATTGTTTCCATGGTATTATTTAATTCGAGAAATTTTGTGATAGGAGTACAAGAGGGAATAATAGTATATTATTCAACAAGCATATAATGAGGGCTATTATTCACGAAGGTTAAGTTTATGTCACGAGCGTAGCGAGTGGCATAATTAACCTTAGTGAATAATAGCTCATTATATGCGAGTAGAATACTATACTTTGTCCACGACTACTATATTGTTCTTGATATATGAATTTATTTTCAACAACTGTTTTATCATAACTTATTTGACATTAGGAAAACTGAAAATTGAAGCGTATGTTATATTAATTCTTTCTAAGACTATTATGGGCCTATTTATTCAAATTGCACCCATTATTCCTATTATCATTGTGACCTGATAAGGATGAATTTTATTTCATAAATACTAGTTAAGCAAGTTTTTTTCATGTCTTACCTTCATTGCAAGATATTTTTCATCACATGCCTGAAGTGTTTTTTATATTGACTCCTTGATTTATATTAAGCATAAGCATCGAGTGATGTGTCCATAATGTGGATGGCTTATATTTTGCAGCTAATTCCGTGAAATATACCAGTAAGACTCTGACTCTGAGAATGAATGAATTTTCTTAGACGCCCTCCAGTTCATGCAGGTGTTGTACACAGATGCATACAGATTTCGGGAGTTCTCCGGCAACGAATTCATTGACGTGACTTTTGCAGCTTCTATTATCTCTGGTGGAGTACACAATATCTCTTCATCACTATCAATATCCATTTTTTAGGAATTATAACTGAAACACCGCGTGTCGTCGAAATTTGACGTTTCAACAATGACAACTATTTATGATTATCTTGTCATGTTCATACATGTCAATGGCTTCCGTATATCATCTTGATATACCCTATTTGATACTAACATCTTATTCCAAGTATACATACATTATAAAGAGAGGAATAATGTAATACTGAGGAGGTATATCAAGATTTCTATATATTTGAATATGATTCGTATGAAGTTAGCTAATTAATGTACCTAGCTATAGCCTGAACGTGTACTGATAAATGCTTGCTTAATACAAAACATTTATCGTGTACCCTACGAACTCTAGACCAGTGAATAATGATTATTCACCGCTATTATTCACTGGTGTGGAAAATGGCTATCGTTTTGCTTGAGGAAGTACATGTATTATGAATATTTTATACAACAGTCGTGGACAAAGACTATTAATCCCTCGCCATTATTTCCTGAGGGATTAATATATGACATTATACTTCAAAAACCACAAGTATAATACTTATATTATATTATATTAGTCGTAAATAAACGTAAATACATGGTACTCCTGTCAGATCGATAATTGAAATGTTGACAGTTTTAGACTTCTCGTTTACTGGGTCGTTGATGTTTTCGTGTGTTGCCGTGGTGAACTTATCAAAAAACGCTCGTTTCTGAAAGTTAATTTCGAACACGCTGATGCGTTCTTCAAATAAGCATTATAGGGTACCAATGAAAAAAACAATATTTTTCATAGTCACAGACACCCCAAAGGTTATTGATGAACATATTTCTCTCAAAGTTACACAAAAAACTAAAATTAGGTCGTTGTAAAGTCGCCACCACCCCTAAATTTCACAGTATGTATTCAATAGTTTGAAAACGGTGTGGAATTTCCTAGATACTACCACTTCCAAGTATGTATCTGTCTTTCAGCTCATTCTCAGAAATGAACTTGTAGAACAGGTCCAAGAACTGTGTGTGCGCCTTCTTTTGTTATCCATATATGTTCAATAGGTTATTGAGGAACTAGTTCAAGGTATATGCATATACCTATCATCAGTCTCAGATTGAGAAAAAAGGAGACGCAGAAAAATATGCATATCAAAATATAGTTTCAGCATGATTCACCCATCATGGTGAGTGAAAATGATGGTGAGTGAAAATGATGGTGAGTCATGCTTATAGTTGTACTCTCTTCCAATCTTGATGACTTACCGTTTCTCTTCATCTCCTGATGTATTCCTCGACTTATTATGAGACCGATGATGAATATATGCATATACTCAAAACTAGTTCCTTAATAACGTATCAAACGTGTGTGGAGATGACTTAGAGTTTCCTCTGCTGATCAAGCATGTACTACTTCCGCATCTTTCACTGTATTCAAAATAAAGTGACAATTGATTTCTGATGGAACAATACTTGGGGTGTCATTTGATGCAAAAAGAGTTGGGGATAGTTCTCGATGTGTGGTAGAAACACATGAAGCTTCTCAAACACCATCGAAAGAGTATTATTAGAGCGCCTATGAAAACAAATTCTCATGTATTTCTCTCCGAATACCTATGACCAAGTTATCGCAGGTGAACAATAATTCGAGAAAACTAGAGCATTGATCTGATGTTATCTCTGTCCATTGTTGCTTCACTATACTCATTATATTCTTCAAAATCAGAGACTCCATAATGACAGGAATTAAGACGATGAATGGAGGTCAAACAAGATTTGCGGAACTAGATGACACAATTGCTTTATTCCACGTGTTGGGTAGACATAGAAGGCCAATGCAATTCGGATGAGATGATGATGTGAAATTTGGCTATAAACATCCGTTGCAA